ATTCAAAGTACGTCATGTAATAAATAATAAATAAGAATAGAAAAATAAAAAAGCGAAATAAAAGATGAGATAAAAAAATTGAAAGAATAGATTAGAAATATGAAAAAGAAACAAAAATAGAAGAAATATATATAATATATAAGAAAAGACATCTTTAGTACTGAAAAGTTTCACGTGAATTCGACGAACAGAATGATCAAATTCACGTAAAATTTTCATTTTCGTTTTCGCTCCTAGGAAAAAATTACATGATCGATGTCCATGTGTTCCCGCCTGCGCTCCGTTAATAGAAAAAAACAATTTCTTAAAATCTAACTGTAAAGGCGTATTCAGACAAAATTTTATAGGCGCGTACATATGCATAAAGTTATGAACCAACCATGTGTCTAGTATAAAAAATGTATACACCTGAATGTACCCTAATCTCATGCCCGGCAACGCCGGCAACTAACAGTGAAATACGGTCTTATTATAGGAAAATACGCAATTCCCTAATTATTAAATTCAAAAGTACCAACTGTTCATTATTGTGACGCTGCATTCTCGTATATGAGAATGTGTGAGAAAAAACTTAAAGTCGTAAATTTTACTGTGAAAAGTCATGACATCGAAAACATTGTGTATATGGTGAAAAAATGAGGCGAATCGTGTCGTGACGTCTCGAAGAACTTGTGCTCGACTAAAGAACATTCGGGATTGATTCTCGCCGAAATAGTCGTGCGTATCCCAATGGTTATGGTCTCACACTATAACCTATACCGTATGTGCGATCCTTGTATCAGCTGATGAGTTCGATGTAATTACGCGCACAACAATTGAATTTTCAAATATTTTCTCTGCTACGACTCGTCAGAAAAAAAACCTTGCCATGGCAGATCTCGCGTTAGGGGAGCTTAGTGGCGAACAGACTGAAAAAGTACTGCAATTTCAGGTACATGATTGTCGGCCTTCATTCTAAGGTTGCGTTATCTTCGTGCGATATGACAATTCACGATATAATAATCATTTTCAGGACCTCACTGGTATCGAGGATTTATCAGTGTGCAGAGATGTTTTGCAGAGGCATAATTGGAATTTAGAAGTTGCAGTTCAGGTATCGTGCATTATTTCTTTTATACCTTGATTTACCTCTGGAACTTTGTAATTCCAGCGTTTGCTGCTGCAATATATTAGTTAATTTTATATGAGCACCTCTTCAACATCTACTTATAACACAATAAGCATTATATCGCCTAATTGCTTCGCATTATTGCAAATTTAGTCACTCAAATAATTTTATATTATAGGAACAATTAAATCTTTATGAAGGAAGGCCGTCTATGTATGCACAAGACTCACGTGCCCGTCCGCCACAGGTTGTAGATGAGACTAGTTCGAGAATTTATTTTAGTTATCCTGGAAGTGCCAGTGGAGGTGGCGGTGTCGTTTCCTATTTTCTTTCCATGTGTTACAATGTAGTAAGCGGTTTACTACAACTACTTTTTGCATTATTTAGGAGGAACCTTAGACCTGGTAGGCAAACACATAATCAGCAAATCTTGTTTTCTCTTAAATCTGAACTACACTTAAAGCAAATTCAAATTTATAATTCTAAGCTTTCGGTTTGCATTATTTGAATTTTATTAGAATTGCTTGTAATAATTTTTACTCTAATAATTGCAGATGTATTAAAATTTTTTATAAATATCTAATAGTATATGTATATATATATAAAGTCAATAAATAATGTCTTCCATTTAGTGCCCTCTGATCCAGTGGAAGATGTAATCAACTTCATTAGGACTTACAAAGAACGATTCGGTAACACTCATCCAGTATTTTACCAGGGCTCCTATAGTCAAGCTCTTTCAGATGCAAAACAAGAATTAAGATTTCTGCTAGTATATCTGCACAAAGATGAATCGCAAGAAGTTGAACAGTGGTGCAGGTAATCTTTGCCACAGCTAGTTGTTCTTCAAATCAAATAACATATGCAGTATGTTTGAAAAACAACAGAATTAATTTTCTGAATTTTTTCGATTATTTACTGATAATTAGCGTTTTGAAGCTTCATGTTTATTTACTTGAAACAAATGAGAAATTTTGAAACAGTATAAATGGCGCTTACATAAAAATATTTTACAAAATTCTTATTTTTCATACATATTGTGTATCCAGCATATATGACAAGAAATATGCGTTTTTTCAGAACTACATTATGCGATCCTGATGTGATCCGATATATAAACACACATACTTTATTTTGGGCATGTAACGTTAAATCTGCAGAGGGCTACAAAGTTGCGGAAGCTCTCAAATCAGGTTCTTGGTTTCCCTTTCTGGCGCTTATTGTGCTGAAGGACAATAGAATGACAGTAGTCGGTCGGTACGTACGACTTATTTATTTTGAATATGTTTTGAAAATATTTTGAAACTAAAATTTCCATTTCTTATTTGCAACTTTATTATAAAGAACGTTTTTTTTTTCTTGTTTACAGATTCGAAGGTACACCATCTTCTTCTGACTTAACGTCACGTTTGCAAACGATTGTAGATCGTAATGAGATTAATTTGATCCAAGCACGTCGAGAAAGGTAAATGGGAATGCTTATAAGATTCTAAAGTTTCAATACTTAAAAACAGAAAAAATTTTGCAATGATAAGAAAACCAATGTCTTGAAAATCTACTGAAAAAGGATTGAAGATTTTCTATCATTTATTTTTTTTTATATATATTTTAGGGCAGAACGCAGCGCGGCGCAATCGCTTCGACAACAACAAGATCGCGCTTATGAGGAATCGTTACGCGCGGATCAAGAAAAGGATCGTAAGAGAGAAGAGGAGCGAAGAGCGCGAGAGGAACAAGAGGCTCGTGAGAAGGAACAGCTAAACGCGCAGGAACTAGAGATCCAGCGCATACGACTTGAAAAAGAACTGACCATTGAGAAAGTGCCTCTAGAGCCGGAACCATCTAATCCCAACGCGTGTCATCTTCAAATTAAGCTCGGCGAGCGGACGATGAAGAGAAGATTTCTTATGACCGATACAGTCGTGGTAATTATGAATATAAAATGCAATAACAATCGCATAAATGTATATTAGAAATATTATTCTTAACTCTAAAACAGAAATATACATAATTTGTTTACTCGACATTCGCATATGCGATTGAGTCACTTTAATAATTATTTTGCCAAGTTAACCTTTATAAAATAAAGATGTAAGTTTATATGAGATATAGAAGAAACAAAATTATATTTTCCTTTTTTTCTTTTTCAGGATGTTTATCATTGGATATTTAGTCAACCAGATTCTCCAGCAAGTTTTGAGATAACAACGAGTTATCCCAGAAGAATCCTCTATCCTCGCAGAGATGTCTTAACTCTGTCGAATGCTGGCTTAACTCACAGAGAGGTTCTTCACATTAACGATCTAGATGATTAATTACGATTGTTTGATACAACATTCTTCGAATTTTAGTATCATTCCAGGAGAAAAATGATACTGTTGTGAGAACATTTGTCAAAAAATAATGATAAAAGTTCATGAGCGAGGGCATAATACACACAAGTAATAAAATACATACACACACAACACACACATACACACACACATGTAAAATATATATATATTTGATACATATATATATATTTGATACATCCTATATCAAATATATATATATTTCTATATATCAAATATATGTATATTTGTATATTTGATATATATTATATATAACAAATATATGTATATTTGATATATATATATATTTGATACATTCTAATGTTTTATGTGAGGTGAGGTGAGGTGAGGTGAGATATAATTTAACATGAAAAGTACGATTACAACATAACATGATAAAATATACCAAAATGATAGGAATCAAAAGAAAGGGAAAAAAATATGTCTGTTGCATTTATCGGCTTATCGAAATTATCAGTGTTATCAATCAATAGAGAACAATCACCGCACTCACTGAAAAAAAAATGCATTTTAAACGGTAAAAAAGGAAATGATAGATAGGAATACATATAATTAAGTACTGAAAATTCTTTTGTGCAATCTTGTAAAAAAAAAATTATATAACAAATTATTTCTTTCATATCTTCCGATTAAACGATATGTTAATATTAAAGAATGATACATAATGTTGTGGATGAATCTTGACACTTGGACAAATTTTCGATGCGTGCTCAGGCACACTTACGTAAATTAGTCCATTTGTTTCTTTTTTTTTGTCTGTGACATGTACATTGAATTTGTATACATGAGTAAAGTATCCGACAGCGTTATTACGTTAGCACAATCAGTTCCTTATTGATAGCAGGCGCATCTTTTGAAGTGAAGCTAATATCGACAATGAACACAATCCGCATGGATTACGTACTGCATATTCATAGAAAAATTTTTGACTCAATTATCGATCAATTGTAATTTTGTATTTGGTATTTACGAAATATTTTTGTTTAATCAAAACCAAGGACAATTTATAAAAACATGTGCCTGTGTAGATTGTACGCAACATGATAAAAAAAAAAAACGTACGGATCTTATCGGTTATCAACCGATACGATCACGTTTACTTACGAAACAACGACAACACATTGTTCATCACGCAACTTTGTGCAATTGTTCTTTATGGTTCCACCTAATAATTTCTTATTTCTTTCTTACATATATGCTACGACAATATTATACATAAAGGATATAATATATTTCAATTCTGATATGTTTTCAATTGCAAGATTTATTTTTCTTTTCTCGGAGGCTTCATGTAATGTACATTCGGTTGAGTTATGTACAAATTCATTCGTTTTGTCACATTGTGCAAGCATCATGACGTATTTACAGTAAGCAGGCAAAAACAACGATTTCAGGATATTACCGGCAAGGATATTCGATATCTTAAATCATTGAAAAATATTAACTGCGTAGTGGTAAATTGATAGAATTCTCTCTGCGTATCGTTTTATCAATTTACCTCTCTATTTTTTTTGTGTGCGAACTTTTTTTAATAAATAAGATATCAAGCAACATCACCAATATTATGGAACACTGCTGTTGGGAAGAAATTTTGTTGGATCTTGACCTTCTATTTCGGATGGGTTTTGGATTTCGGAGAGACTTTGGCTCTTTCCTTGGAACGTTGCGCCTGGCTGTAAGCACGCAAAGTATTGAATACTTTGTTATTCAATTTCACATCGAATCCACCAGTGTCCCCGGTCTCAATTCCAGGTGGGAACTGTAACACCCGGCATGCATTTATTCTGGAAGACATCAACATGTCGTGTTTTGTGATGATCTGAGAGTTCTTTCCCATCTTCTTATAGCCGCACCGTGGTATTGAAGCATACTCTTTCTCTACGCTCTGAAAAACAATACATAGTTTATCTTGTAACAGGCCGTACAAACAAACTCCAAGTCTACATAATGTTCCGTTCGCATTTACGCTTTGCAAATTACACATATTGTGCAATACTTACGACGAAACGATCAAAGTCTCTGTTACTGTCATCTACATTAGGATCTACACTATCCTCATCCTTCTCATGGGAAGAGTTACGATAATTACTGTACGAAATGCTCACTGAAATAAGAGGAATGGACTTGAAATAATTATATATGCAATGCATTATCACGCTTTTGATTACCTTTTGAATCACGATTGAATTTTTCCTCTGTGCGTTTCAACATTGTGTTGTACTCTCCATTAAATTGTGCTTGTAACAGACACGCTATGACTTCGTCGTTGCCAGTATCACTTGCATCAAATGTTTCTCCTATCTGTCTGTCTATATTGTTTGTGTTGTCATCATCCAAGTATTTTTTCAATTCTCTAGATACATTAAAATAATTAGACATAAAATTATATATTTCATTAAATGTTTCAAAGTTTTGATTCCAACCGGTAATGTTAACATAAAAGTTTTAAATAGCATTCATGTAATATAATGAAGGTCATAATATTGTTATGTGCACTTTATTCTGCAATCTTATTAATTTTCTAACAGTAAACATTTTTATAATTATATTTTTTATAGTATATTGAAGACAAATTTGTAAGTTTTATAAAATCTGTATACAAAAAATTATTCTTAAGAAAGATCACAATTTTGTGACAAACGATATATACTTTTCTTGCATGCTTACGGCCAGTTGCTCTGTCGTAATGTCTAGGAGATTGACAGGACTTTCCAGAGGTTGTATTTTTGCCCACACTTTTGGAGTTGCCATTATTAATTAGATATGTTTAATAAAAACGATGAAAATTGAACAGTACAAACACGATTGCGCGAGAGGAATTGGGATGAGATAAGTACAAGTTACGATTCTACGTTCACCTTTCTTCTTGTTATACGAAACGAAGAATGTGTCGATATCGGATGTCAGCTGATGTCAGCCGAAAACAGTACATCGCGCCGATAAAACAGTTTCTCACAATACCAGTTGTTGATTATATAGAATCGATGTATTACCAACAATACAACGCATTTAATTTTTGATATTTCTTATTAATTGATACATCAATTTATTCATGAAAAATATATTTATGGAAAATTTTATTAAATTCCAAAAAATATATATCTATAACACACATAAAAGAAAAATACATTTTCTAAACTGATTTTATAACCTAAAAACATAAGACTTCTTTTATTGACGTAATATAGAACAATATTAAAAGGAAATATTAACATTCAAAGAAAGTATTTCCTTTGAATCTAATTTATATTCTGATATAAAATTTTCATTGACGTTTTTTTATTGACGTAATAATATACGTCGAATAATAATGCTTACTGCATACTGTGAGACACAATTCTCAGTTCAACAAATACACTTTTAATTATTATTAATTTATTCCAGTAAATCTAGTACATACACAAACGATTCCTTTTTTTTTTTTATAGTAATATTTCATTCATTCGCTTTTTTCAAGTCGTTCTTCAAATTCCATAGCTAAACTCTAAACTAATCTTAGAAACTTAGCTATGCCAAAAGCAATGATTTGGCAAGTTCATTAACGAGAAAATAAAATGATTCTAATCCTTGAAACAGGGTAGAAAAGACTGTGAACAATACATATGCTTATTTAAGATCTTAATAATTTGTTATGATTGCGTTCGTTCATTCTAAAGTAATGCATGGGGCACGGCTGGTGTTTCTCAATTTACAAGTTTAATATGAATTGTATTACCGAATGCTTTTTTTTTTTCTTTTTTATATAAATACGATGACAATATGTACAGATATTATTGATGTATACAGAGTAAAGACAGCTTCTAGATTCGTTTTCGAACTATACGAACGTCAAAATGCACTAATGTAGTTCTTATTAACATTGAAAAAAAATTTGAAAGCAATAAACGTATTTTCTTTCTTACAAGTAACACAAATGTATTCAAAAATTAACAGTAAGTAAAAAATAAAAATAAAAAGAGGGCGTCGTCTAGGCATACACAATCTATTTTTTTTCTTTTCTTCAAAACAACTCTCCGATATCCTCCGATACAAATATAAAAAACAAGATTTCGAAGAATTTCTGCATTGTATCGAAATTATACCCATGCATTACAATAGTACATCACATGATAAGATTCAGCTGCATTGTCGAACGTCAGTCTTGACCTAAAATGATTGCCGTTGTTCACTGAATCTCCGTGAACGTACGAATTCGAAATGAATCACAGGCCCTGAAGTATCGTGGATGCTCTAATAGTTTACCGCTTGCGCATAACCTATTGTTGCGAATTTCGTGAATAAATTACAAGTAACATCTCGTGGACTGATGTCTTTAAAGTGACGAGATGAAAATTTGCATTAAACTAAAAAAGGTCTTAAATAGACTTAAGTAAATAATGAAGTTGTTACTGCATACGTTAAACGCAAATCATATCCTTAAAAGATACTTAAGAAAATAATCTACGTCGCTTTCTTATAAAGAACGCGCATATATAAATACAGAGAAACGTGAAAATCTTGAATCTAGATGCCGAATGTACACGTAATAAATACAGAAGTAATGCAACTCGATTTGTAAAATATTACGTCATTGCTTGGAAATCTCGTCGTATTCATTTTCTAGAAAAATTCAGCTAAAAACTGTAATTTACGAAAAATAATGTTAGAGCGCAAACGATTCTCGCGGGACAGTTCAATTTGCGCTATTTTGAGTCCTTGTTTGAGCCATTGTGTTCCAGCACTTAATATTCAGGCTGCAACAGACAAATGATATTTTTCATTGAACAAAAGTCGAAAATTACGTTTACGGTTGACTTTGCATAATCACGATATTACTGCACACAATCGTTACAATTATCACAGACCTGTGAAACCCTGCGGTGGTTGCCCTGGTACTGAGTATTGTGGTCGAAAGTTTCCGAAATTGGCGGCGCCCGCGAAAGTGGCCGGCAATTGTCCGCCGGAGAAGCCAGCTGGAAATTGCTGCGCCAGTAGTGCGGCCTGGCCTGTCTGAGAGCTGCTTCCGCCGGGTGCCGTGGCCGCCAATCGACTCAGTATTGATCTCTCAGACATCTGGAGTCTCTGAGCAACCGGTGGAATGCGCGCCAATGTCGCCGGCAAACGGCTCACGTCTGACTTCATGTCGGACAAGAGCTCTTCCAGCTGATTCAATACCTATGAAAATTCAATCCGTGTTCGGATCAATTTTGTCGCGCGTTCGAAAAACTTGCAATAAAACATGCGGACAACCGACCTTGTGCAACACCGCATTCGCCGGTTTGTTGCCCGCAAGGCTCTCCTTGCTAAGATGCTGATGGGATTCGGCGAGACACTCGACTTCGGCGAATCGCGCATTCAAACTCATGGCAGGATGATTGGGATCCTGCGTAAGGTTTAGGTAAGCGGCTCGCCTTAACTGCTCCTCGATCACTAACGCCTGTTCTAAGAGCTTGAAACGTCTCGCTAGAAACTTGTTCTTTATCTCCAAGAAATTGCCTTTTCCCATGTCCATCTTGAATGGCTCGTTAATTATAGCAAACCTGTAATTAGTATGACAGTTTTATACAACTGGAAAAGTGAAAAAAGGGCTACTTTCAAAATCAATAAAAAAATTAAAGAGCCAACGCTGATATATGTGCGCTGAAATCGATGCTAGATATTAAAAAAAAATTATTTTTTATTTAATACAAGGGTTCAGTTACCTAATATCATTTTGTATATCCTGCCATCGCCCGTAGCCGTGCGTGACGATACCAGCCAAGAGCCAATAATCATGGCGACGATGCCAGATATCGTATTCACGGCCCGGCACGGCGGCCTTCTCTTCGTTCAGCCAGAGCGTGTGTAATTCCGTGAATCCACCATCGGCTATGTTGAACATGAACTTACGCTTAGGCTTCACTACATCTTCAGAGTCCTTTACGTCCTTTTCTTTGTTATCTTTCTCCTGGAAAAGGAAAGCGTGATATGAATCAAGCTGCTTCTTAATAAGACGTATGGATTCTTTGCGTGCAAATGAATACCTCTCGCTTCTCTGTTTCCTCCTCGTCGTCCTTCACAATAACGACATCTTCTTCTGGTTCGGTCTTCTTATTCTCACTATTCTCTGCTTTATCGTCGTGTTTCGCCGCTGCTGCTTTCTCGTCCTTCACATCGGCTTTGTCCTTCTCCTTTTCTGCGGATTCCGTCTCGCCGTCCTTTTCCTCTTTCTTAATATCTTCCTTCTCCTTGTCCTTTTCAGAATTTCCTTCGTCATCTTCTTTAGAATTCTTCGAGTCTTCTTTCGAATCCTTCGCGTCGCCACCCTGAAATGATAACCATTTTATTGATCTCAATTCTTAAGTAACGCGCATTCCGTAAAACGATACTCTTGACATATAAATTTTTACGTATGAACGAGGAAGAAATAAATACATGTCAAGAGGGTTGTCCAATACCAACCTCCTTATCCTTCGATTCATCTTTAGATTCTTTAGCGTCAGATGCATCGGAATTCGTCTTGCTGGCTTCGATGGCGGCACCGGCAGTCGAAGTCGGAGTCGGCGTGGCAGCAGGACTAGGACTGGGAGCATTCGAAGTGGCAGGTGTAGCACTAGTGCTGCTGGTACCAGTCGCTGCTTCCCCGGTTCCTTCCGGCTTGATGGGTTCTATCGGTTTTCGTATCATCTCCGGCATCGAATAATAGCCATTAATGTGTTCAAATTCTTGAACCTGCGAACAATAGCATCACATTAACGCTTATCCTTTTAATATTCCTTCTTGGAGTTGCAACACCTAAAGAATAAAGAGATAAATAATTTATTATGCGCGATTTAATGATCGGTACCTTCTTCCTAATCAAGGACATCACACCGATTCTTGTGAGTACGTGCTGTCGACTGAGACCTTCTCGAGGAACGCCGTCTGCGAACGTTTCCGCATTGTCGGCACCTGGTTCGCAGAGGTGTCGCATGAAGAGCGAAACGTAGGCTTTGAAATTCTTCTCGGACTTTCCGCGCAGATCACGTACCAACCTGTATAATTTAAATACATATGTGTAATTGTTAATTGTTATAAAGATAAAAATATTATATTATTAATCAAACAGTGCAAAAGGTGCAGTGATTAATTTCTATTTTGTTGCCAATAATGTTATGTTAATTATTATATGCTTGTGTTAAGTGATAAAAAATTATACAAAATAATTAGGTTAAAGATATAACATGTAATTTTATAAATCAACCGACCATTGAGAGTTGAAAGCGTCTTGTGGCGGCATTCCATAGCGCATAATTGCATTGAGGAATGCCTTCCTCTGTCTGGCATTAAAACCTAGCACCTGTAAAAAATATATGTATGAGTAAAATGTGCGCAAGAATATATAAACAATTCTTTGTTTTAAAAAATTGACTAGAATATACAAGTAAGCACTTGTGTGTAACATTCTTTTTATTCGAAGTAAAATTACTTCGTTAAATTAGAATGGTTTTTTTTAAACTTTAATTATTTTCACAAATTTATTTAGAAACTCATGTACATAAACATAAATACACATACATATAAATCATTGTGTATATTCTTTTTAGATGAACACTAACCTCGATATTTCCGTTTACTCTGGCAAGCAGAGGCGGCAAAGGTCTGTCCTTTTCGTCGCGTCTCTCCAGTCTTCGTCTACTTCTACGAGACAATAAGTCTCCATCGCCCTTCTCGTCGAAATCATCATCCTCCTTGTCGTCGTCGCTGGGCGCACTGAAGTCGCTATTATAATCAGATAGATTCTCCTGCCACGGCTGATCATCTCTCGCGCCTTGATCGCCGGTCACACCGCCATCGGTGTAGTTAACTTGTTTACGCACTCGTTTGCCTGCAATTGATTTAATAAGTGTGGGAAGATTCTTTTATTTATACATATATCGATCATACTATTTTATCAACGCAAACCTTTTCCGAGTGTTCTAGCAATATCCTCCTGTTGCTGCTCGTAATGATGTCTGAGCAGCTTGATCCAATATGCCGGATCGGTATTCTCGGCCTCTTGCTTAATTATTTCCGTGTCCGCCTCCTCCTCCGTTTCACCTTCCTTCGTCACGTACGAGGCGACCTTGAAGGAACTTAAGTACTCGTTGGCCCAATTCTCCTTCTGCTCGATACCCTCCTTACTTCTGTCCAATAATTCGGCAACAGCCTTATCGTCGTAGTGTATAGCTTCATCCTCCTTGCCCTCCTCTTCCTTGAACAGTTCCTCCGTACCTAACGTGAAACAAATTAAATTGTGCTTGAACGTGTAAACAGTCATTGAAAATAAAAATTATTTGACAGCAATTATTTCAATTGTCAATCGTATTATTAGAAATTATTATTGTCAATCGAATTGTTGGAACAAGATTATTATCAGAAAAGATTAAACAAAACTTACCGAAGCGCAAAATGTCATCGAGCTCCTGTTTACTAAAGTTAGCACCTTTACCGCCCATGCCTGGTCGCACGACTAAATGAGTGAGCATCATCTTGCGCTTGGCCACCTGCGTTACTCTTTCTTCCACGGAGTTACGCGTGACAAATCTATAGATCATAACTTTGTTAGCCTGGCCTATCCTGTGAGCTCTGCTGAACGCTTGGATGTCGTTGTGCGGATTCCAATCGGAGTCGTAAATAATCACCGTGTCCGCCGTTGCTAAATTGATGCCGAGACCACCAGCACGCGTAGAAAGCAGAAAGACAAACTGTTGTGCGCCTGTAATTAAATTCCTTAATTAGTTTTCAATTTTGAGCAAATATTTATTTTTTGTAAATTTAAAAGTAAAATTTCAAGTTCTCCGTTGTATTTCGTTGAATATACAAAACGCAATTGAGCAATAAAGGTCAAATAAAGGTGCAATTTTACACGCAAGAATTATGATTATATTATAAAAGTTCTCGAAAATACTTGCCGGGAGCGTTAAATCTGTCGATGGCCTCTTGACGTTGCGCGCCGGTTATATTGCCGTCTATTCTCTCATACTTGTATCCCTCGCCCTCCAAATAATCTTCAAGAATATCCAACATCTTGGTCATCTGAGAAAATATAAGAACTCGATGTCCGTCGTCTCGCAGCTTCTTAAGCATCTTGCTCAACAGAACCAATTTGCCAGCCGCTTTAATCAACGCTGAAGTCTCGTAACTTCCATTTGGTCCGGTTGGTGCTTCTTGTGACGCGGCAGGAAACAAATATGGATGATTGCAGCATTTCTTGAGATCCATCATTATATTTAACAGCGACACTTGCTGGCCGCCTCCCTTCGGATTCAAGGCTTCGAAGTTCCTCGTTAATATATATTTGTAATACTTCTTCTGCATTGGTGATAATTCGACGCGTACGATAAATTCAGATTTGCTAGGCATATTCTGCAAAAAAAAAAAGAAACATGTTTCCTGTAGCGTTGCTAATATAAACTAATTATAAAGTATGACAATATTTCTATACACTGTGATATCTAAAATTTCTTTCCATAATTCTTTACCGAAAAACATTAAATAATATATTATAAATTTATAAAAGTATATTTGAATTAATAATTTCTCGTGCTGCAGCAATGTAATCGTATATATGTAAAAAAGAAATTACCAACCTTCAATACATCAGCTTTCAATCTCCTCAACATATGCGGTCCAAGCATTTCGTGCAGTTTTTTAACCTGCTCTTCCTTTGAGATATCAGCGAATTCATTTTGGAACGCTGCCAAATCGTTGAATTTATCGCGGCATAAGAAATTCAATAAGTGGAACAGTTCCTCCAAATTATTCTGCAGTGGCGTGCCAGTCAGTAAAAGTTTATACGCGATATTGTAAGAAGCTAATAATCTGAAGAACTTGGACTGATTGGATTTCAATCTGTGAGCTTCATCTACAACTAAAACAGCCCAATCGATGGAGCCTAGGCATGCCGAATCGATGGATATAAGCTCGTAACTCGTAAGCAAAACGTTAAACTTAATTGAAGACGAACGAATTTTGGAGGCGCGTCCGCTACGTACAGCACCTTCCTCGAACGACAATTCGTTTTCACGAATCACAATACGACTGTCTTTGTCGCCTAAATAAACAGAAAGTCACTATTAACTTATGCCTTTTAAAATACATGTTAAAAATAAAAAAAGAATAGTACTAACCCACATAAGTAACACAATAGAAGTCAGGCGCCCAAGTTTCAAATTCACGCTCCCAGTTAATAATAGTTGACAAGGGAACGGAAACCAGGAAAGGCCCTTTACAGTGGCCTTCCTTGTACAAGGAATATAAGAATGTGATAGTTTGAATAGTTTTTCCCAAACCCATTTCGTCGGCCAGAATCGTGTCTATGCCTTGGCCCCATGAATATCTCAACCAGTTTAAACCCTGCGAATTGAGAAAATGTAATGTAAAAACTCGAGGAAATGAAATTTTGACACATTTAGTATGTCGTGTTTATACATATGCAAGTAAAACTATTAAAAAAAAATCAGTTGGCACTTGAAAATGTAACAAAAATTAAGAAATTGAAGAAAACAAAAGTTGGCCCATTTGACACTCGATACTTGCCTCCAATTGATAAGGATGTAACTGCATTCCAGTTTGATCCAAGTAATCTGGTTGCCTTTCGTACTTCTTCTTGAGATCTGTCGTAGGTTTGTCTGGCGGTGGCGTGTACCGCTTTGGAGTCCTTTCTTCATCGTCGATGAGCTCGCGCGTTTTCGATTTCTTCCCTTTACCTGGATTTCGTTCCATTTAGTTTACAAGAGCGCGAGAGAAACTATGCGTAATTGATAAAAATTAAATCGACCTCTCCACTCACCCTTTTTGCCTTTACGTGACGTAGTACCGTCGCAACAGTTAGCGGCTCTCAAATCTAAATAATATTCTATGGCCTGCTTCAAGCCGGGGATGTCCGCGTGCTCGTCCTCCCATGTTGCCTGATCGTAGCCGAGTTCCCGCCACTTGACGAGATACGTGGCTCTGCCGTCTCTTTGCAATCGATGATTGATCACTCTGTGAACCACCAGCCATTCCGGACGAACGCCGTAACGATAGAAACGTTCTTCCAAGTTGTACTCATCCCTGTTGGTGGCACCGGGCTGCTCCTTCAAACGCTTTACACGAGTATCGCTCTCGTCCAACGGTTCCTCCAATTTTGGTGGATCGTCCATGTCATATTTACGATAATAATTCCTAATCACGTAAAAACCCACACATTGTACAACATGCATATTTAAAGGTAACCGAGTTAGAATGTGTGAAGAGAATTTCTAACCTAAACATGAGTGGGTGGAATACGTCAAGTTGTAATTCTGTGATCCAGTCACAGTGCCAGTAGGACATATCTGCCCACTTCACGAAGAACTCGCGTATTTTTCTCTGCTTAGGTGCAGCCTTGCTTGTAGAAGGCTCTTCCGACGGTGTGTCGGAACATTCTTTCCATCTCCACGTTAATATCTTTGCCACTAGTAAAAAAAAAAGAAAAATTATAACAATAAACTATATTATGTGCATTCCTAGATGTTGCTTTTGATTGTGGTGTAATATTTACTTAATATATTTAAATAATCCAACACTACTTTAATATTATGTATTTGCAAGAACAATAAACATAATATAAAATTATTCATCTATACCTCTCCCTCTCAAAGGCGGACAAGAACATCGCGGGCATTTCCAATCGCCATCGGGAATCTCCGATAATGGAGGATTCAAGCAATGCGTGTGATACGCACTCGTGCAACTGTCGCAACACAACAATTCTCCGCCATCCTTGCACACTCTGCAGAATTCCATATGTTCGTCGTCATCCTCTGCTGCTCCTAACAATACGAATGCAACTATAGTCACCGTTCACTCGATGCGATGAAGCAAATGCGGGATTTGTTTCAGGGGAAAAAAAAAGGAAGGAGCGGAAGGAAGGAGAATTAGGCTCGGTGTGAATCAGGATACCTGCAATACCTTCTCCTTCGCAATGGGCACAACTCCATTTTCCTTCGGGCGTTTCTTCCAATTCAGGCTCCAGGCACACTAAATGATACGCTCTAGGACACGTATCGCACAATATGATCTCTCCACCTTGCTGACACACTTCGCAGTAATCCTGATGGTCAGTCTATAGAGAAAAAAAAAAACAGAAAATAATTATTCCATTTTGACTAAGCAGATAATTCACATGATGATAGAAAAGATTCATGATGTCAAAACATAAATGATTTAAGCGCGTATTTAAAGCATGTTGCATAAAGTGTATGATTATGCAGCTTTAAATATTACAAAACATAAGGAAGAAAGAAAGGAAGAAACAATTACGATTATTTTAAGGCAGAGTCAGACAACGGAGCATATGCGTTCTTGAAGTTCCGTCAATGTCTACAATGTATGTACGTGTTCTTGCCGCCAGCCCTTGTATTTTGCATACATTAGAAAAATTTGTGTTATTTTCTTTATATCGAATTTATAAATGTATCATTTAATGATCATTAATGAGAGATTTGTACGCGCATATCCAAATGGAAATCATCGAAAGAATCGCAGCTGTGATAAAATTAACAAGCACAATGATTAGTCATGCGTCGACTAGCAAATTATAAATAAATCTCCAAGCTTTTAGTATGAGGAGAATGATTATTATGTGGCAGTCCATGATTGCAAGCACGTTTAAAACAACAATGAACGCATAAGCAAATGCTGCTTAACTCTACCTGGAGACCTTCCTCTCCATCCGGAAACTTAGAAGTAGTCTTTGTCTTCTTCTTTTTCTTGGTCTTGTTGCCGATTTTTGTCTTCGCCTTTCTACGAACTGGCGGCTCGGCCGGTGGTTCGACACCAGCCTCCTCGACGTTACCCTTGTTACCATCGACACCGGGAGTCTCCTCCGCATCGGCCAACATTTGCTCGAATTCCATGTCGGAATCGGCCGCAGAGCCCGCGGCGCTACCCTCCGCCTCCTCGTCCTAAGTAAAATTCAACGACAGATTTAAATAAAAATACATTCTATGTCACAAATAAAACAACAGAGAAAAGTTACTATACGTACTGAGCTTCCCCGCTTGCGTTTCCCAAGCTTAATCTTAAGCGTCGGTACTTTCGACGCCTTTTTCCCTTTCTTCGCTCTTGAACCTCGCGATTTCTTCTTCCGATCACTGTCTTCGTCATCTTCCTCTTCATCCTCAGGTTCTTGTATAGCACCACTTCGATTTGCTCGGGCGTTTCTGTTATCATCATCCACGTTGGTGGATGAGACATCCGCATCCGGTTGCGTGTGTGGATTTAATTCGGAGAAATCGCGCCACTTGGCTGCCACCAACATCATAAGCTTCGACATTGGAACCTAATCATGCAAAACAGAAATTCAGCATATTAGGAAATATAGTACAGTCTGTGCAAAATATATGAAATAATTATAGCGATAGAGCATAAGAAATATACATACTTTTGGATTTTCTTTTGCCAAGAGCGGTCTGACGTGTTGTTGAAATAGTTTGTACGTCGTTAAGTTTTGGAAATCGGCGTCAGAATATTCAATTTGTACGTCCGTTAAGCCGAATGTGTTGCACACTTCTTCGATTGTGGGCATGCCTGTCGTAGGCTCTTGGCTCTGAGTGGTCGGTGGTGCATTGTGACTGGAGGATTTTCTGGAGGATGACTTCCTGCTCTTCCTATTGACCGCATAGTCACTGTCCTCACCAGCCGCGTCACCTGCTGCTGCTTCACCGCCACCAAAGTCGCTTTCCTAAATATTTCAAATTGGTTAAACAGTGCAATCGCTTCAACTAAATTACTATATTAAATTATATCGTGTACAATCAACAAATATATATATATATATGCAATAATAATATACTTACATCCCCAGAATCGGATTTTTTCTTTTTCTTCTTTTTCTTTCCTTTCTTATCCTCACTACGTGCTTTTCGCTTCTTTCCTTTCTTCTTTTTCCGCTCTTCTGGTTCATAATCATCGTCCTCTTCCTATAAAAAAATAAATTCCATGTTTTAAATTTCTGAATAAAGAATACTAAAATATATAGATCACCATTGAGACAATACAGTTATCACAAAGATAAAAAAACAACAGTAGATTTATATCTTTTATGATTATAAATATTATTAAACAGAATATATAACTTACCAATCTCTGAGATTCTTCAGCATCTGATGAGCCATCTACTGGCTGACCAACATTTGATACCTGTCCCCCAGTCTCATCCATGTCATCCTCTCCTAAAAATTTGCAATTTATTCAATTAATAATTTTCTGTATTTAACCACGAAATTTAATTATAAAATATGACTATTTTTCTATTGTTTGCTATATGCAAAGCTGCCTACTAAAATCTTAATTTTTCATATAAAAATCTTTATTAAAATTAGTAAATTAAAATCTGCTAATTCAAACAGCAAAAAAATTCTTTTCTTTCCACAAATGTGATTATTCTTTCCTATAAATTCTTTATTTTCTCTATTCCCGTTTTCATATTTTACAAATAGATTTTGAATTCTTGACAGATCACAAATTCTTCAACCGTTTTAATAATTTGAAAACGATTAAACAATGCTAAAATCAAATCAATTAATTTCGGCTTCAGTTGTATTGTAATTTATCACAGAACAGAATACGTCGTGCAAAAGCATAAAATAACGGTTTAATTAATTGCGCTCTACAATACAATATGCGGCTCGTATCGTTTGCGATCTGAACATGACAAAAATTCTGCAAGAATATCAATGAAAACGAAAACAGAAACTGTCGTCGCGAAATATATATTCGATGATCCGAAAGATACTCACGCGAATTCGAAGGGCGATTTTGAACTAATCAACGTTTCGCGACTGCTTTGTGCGAGTGTGCGTCCGCCATTTTCTTTAATAGGGCATTCTACATTTGACATACAGATACACGTACATACACACGCACATATTCGCACGCATACATTTAATATTGATATGCTCAACTTCTGCCGATATTGTAATTAACGAAGGACGAAGGATCTGGTCGTAAAATCCATTCACTTCGGGCAAATTTTTACCAAAGCACCGGTGGAGGTTAGACGCCGGCTGTATTGCATGCAGAGAACGTGTAATAAAGTGGTGTACGTGCGCGTGTGTATCACGAGATATATACGTGTATACACACACATACCAGATAAGCGAAGCGTATACGTGAAACGCGGATCCATAATTTTTTTTGCGCGGACGTTGTGGTACGTTGTAACATGGCGTAAATGCAATTACGCTTCGTCGATTGGAAATCGTTCCGACTCGAATAAGCCGTAATTATTGCAAAAGGAAATTAATTTCCCTTTTATATACAATGCATGTACCGTTATCATGCTCAACATTAACATGGGCTATTTTTATCATTACATTTGAGAAACAGGCACAAAAATATGGAATTATTTGTCGATTATTATTATTATTATGAATATAGGAAATATGCGCGATGTGCAACCATATTAGATTTGCAAACCGACCATAGCTGCGTTTCGATTCTTCATACTCCCGATGTAATGACTCAGTAATGAATATTATAATTACAAGCGCAACGATTTGTCTCAAATGAAATGATGCTAAAATCGCAAAAGTCATAAATTGAATTTAAAACAAATTATAATAAACGCAACAATCGTAAAACGTCGAAACAAAAGCTAAATATATATTTTCGTAATTACAAGACGCGGAAAACACGCTCGCGAAGATTCTAATAATCCTGATTCTCACGATTTGCTCCGAGAAAGAAAAATATGCCAATAAAACGTGTTGAGTAAACACAGACGGCGATTTGCGATCATCGCGGCAGACCGCAGTAAATAACAACAATAGCGATCGCATTCCGCTCGCGAAAAATGGAGAACACTACGCCCGCAATTCGGTCTTGTGTCATTTCCATCCTCCGTCAAACGGCGGCCTGTCTTTCGGCGGCGGGAAGATTCGCCGGTGTACGAGATAACGTCGAGTGGCATGGTGACACAATCGGCAAAGGTTAGCTTCGCGTGCGTCTCTCTCTTTTACGTGAGTAAATGTTCGCGCGCATTCTCTGGTCCCGTGCAACCACGACGACGCCGCTACCCGGGACAACGGCGTGGCGGCGACCGCACGGAGCCGATTAATGCGGCAGCCATTGACGCGGCGAAAAGCGCGCGTTCCGCGTTGTATATAGCGTTCATACCTGTTCGTTGCACTACGATGTTGCGATTATCCCGATGCCGCTCTCACGGCTACGTCTCTTTGTCTCTCATTCTCTCACCCCCCTTTTCCCCTCGTCATTCACTATTGCTCTCTCTCCCCCGTCACTCACTCTCACACTCTCTCTTTCTTTCTCTCTCTCTCTCTCTCTCTCTCTCTCTCTCTCTCTCTTTGTTTTTCTGTCGTATCACACGTGTTCTTCATCGTCGATATTTTACCGCCGGTACGAGTATCGCACACGCTTCCACGAGAAACTACGTGCGATGACCCGATTCCTGGAAAGAGGTCACTCGCCTGCCAACACCTGTCCCGCGGAGCTTCGTCGTATCTTTATTTGACGTATCTCGCACGCGCGCGGGAATTCTTTTTTCGTGAACGAGGGTGGGAAAATACCGCGTGGGTGTACGCCTCCTTCTTCACGCTTTCAGTGAGTCATCGACGCGAGTCGCTCGCTCCGTGCGAGTTGCTTTATTATTCATGAACCGGTAGCGCGAAACCCGGAATATGCGCGCCAACCGTACGCCACGTGCTCTCGAAATTCCCGGTGAAATCGAAGAATTATGTTCTTCGTCGGGAAGCGTGGCTTCAACTGTTGATTTGCATACTGGTATTTAATATAGATTCGATTTGCATACAGTATGAGAAATAGATCTGAGAAGCATGTATCTTTTTATCAAATTAATTAACGATAAGCCGCGTGTGAACACTGCTAATAATAATTAGTAACAATGAATAGCAACATGAGTCTGATATGTTTTTCAATACATCAAATTAGAGAGTTCTTTTTTTATCTGCCATGAAAGATATTCTTTTGACAAATCGGCAATTTTTTCCAAACATGTCTATTTGCGATTGTAATGTGCATATGCAAATGTCGAGTTGTAAAGTTAGCAAAACATCTGAATTTATAATGCAAAGTCGTGGAACATTGGCCGTAACGACATGCGTGAACAGTCCGCCGCGGAATCATCCGGACGTAATTTAATAGTCCACGGCACAGATCTACGCGGCGCAACGTCGCTTATGTACGACGCGCGTAACATAAGTCGAGCTCGGCGTGCTCTCAAATGCATACGCATACACGTGCGTAAAGGCGACGTCGAGAAATGCGTGTGTGGCGCCAATGTCGGTGAATGCAGCGCGACCGGGACTCGAGCGGAGCCAGCTACGGAATGCAGTTCCGAGCCAAACTCAGAGGCTGCTTCGTTTCTCGGCTACTGTGCGCAGAAACAAGAACAAGAGAAAGAAAGGGAGAGAGAGAGAGGAGGAGAG